CAAGTGAATCCAGAAAACAAGCCGCTCTTCCCGCACATTGGCCCGGAGCGTGCATTTGCCGATTTCATCTTCGCGCATGTGATATTTCATCTTGTTATTGCGAATTTTCTGGGTTGATCAGTTTCGACAATCTTTCGTTGATAGTTTTAATTTTACTCGGCCTTCCTGCAAAAGTCGAATAGCCGATTTTTCTTATAATATGCAGGTTTAGCTTGCTCCCTCTGTTACACCATTGAATTCATCGTTGTGCTTCTTCGGGCCAGTGATGCATGTCCCTGAAATATGTGCGCTTTTTGGAATTTGGCAGTCTAAAACTGCATCATGTTACCTTGCGACCTGACGGAACCCTTTCCGGTTTGGTTTTTTAGGTAATTCCCCCTTCTTCCTCGGCCCTGATTTCGTGACCCTGACCCTCGGTTTGCTGTTGTTGTCTCATCCCCACCTCTGCTTTGCCTTTTTTTCGTCTGGAAAATGTCTAGGCTACCTTCCGTTGCGCCTAAGCTCAATTCCCAGTGATTTGTTTGCCAAGATTACTGTGACCTGAGAATGTGTGGGAGGAAATTGATGCACTGACGGCGCTTAAAAATGAGACTACATGTCGAGCAGGCAAGACGAACGTATTTGCATAGGTTAGAGGAATCTGTTCGCATTACACCCCAACATTTCAGCACCTGTAATTCGCTTGTCCAGGCAGCAAATCCCTCTCGTACTTATCATTGAGATAAAAGATGTCGCTCATCCCGATGAATGTATTATAATATATTCAGGAAAAATTTCGAATTTAAAACTTATTCGAATGTATGCGTAAGCTAATAATCGAGTGTGTGATCATTTTTTGTTGAATTTTTTTTTTTTGGGAATTTAAATTATGAAAAATAAAACTTTTAAAGTTTTTGCGAGATCTTTAAAATGGGGCGTTTGGTCGTCCATTTTTTGTGCTATCTTCAGAACCACTTTCGGTTTTCTTCAAAAATCAGACAGATTTGCTCTTGTTCATTCGAAGCATTTCGAACAGGGGCTAACTTCTCCGGCAGCTTTTGCCAATATTGTGGCGCCTGGTGGCCAGCTTGCTCGCGATCCTGATCTTCAGCTCCTCAGGGATTTGCCACGATAAAAGCTTTAGGAAGTGCTTGCTTGGGATTGTTCCTCGTGTGTGTTGAGCGTCAAATCCTGGGCGGTAGCTGTTCTGGATAAGTTATCCTGATGACAGGGGGTCAGTTTCAGTTCCTTTCGAGTGGTTTAATTTTAAAGTACTGTTTAAACGTTCAAGAGATCAGTGTTTCGGGAAGCAGCAATCTGTATTTGATGACTGCAGCGCTGTGCGGTCTGGTGCCACGGAATGGTGGACGAAGCTGCGAAGAAAGCGCGAGAGGAGTACCTGAAGAAGTATCTCAGCAGCGATGACAAATCGGTAAAGAAAAAGAAGCCGAAAAAGCGGAAGAAAGATGTTCGAATGGGGTTCGTTGTCTCCATTCAGCATTCTTTTCTTTTTCGAGAATCTGCATATTTCCTTTTTGTGCAGGCTTGCCCCGCCCTCTTCCTTACTAACATATTTCTAACGGTCGGTGAGTGCTTTTCTCGTTCAGCGATAGGAATTTCTATTGCTCTCCAAATGAGCCGGGATTTCCCCCGCTGATTTCCAATTTGCGAGGCTTTTATTTTGTGTAACAACCGAACATATCTATAGGTGGGGCGTCTACGCAAAACAAATAATACTTTATTTAATAAAGCAAAACAGGCGCAACCGATGACAGGCGCGGATTCCAGTTGGTCAGCAGCACCACGATAACATCGAATTGTTAGCATTTCTAATCACACCACTTCTATATCACAAGGGGTACTCGAGTCACAGGACGGACGGGATATCCAGACATTGCAAGGGAGCGCAAGGCAATTGCGACAAGCAGAAAGGGATCGGCCGCCTTCATTGCTCCTTCCTCACCTGTTTTGCAACATTGTGACCAGTGGTCATCGTTGTTAGTCAGTGTACCGGTAACGTTGTCTTCTGAAAAGAGCGTCAGCGCAGTATTTCCTTAAAAAGAAGCATAAGGCAATTCGAGATTTATTTTGGCATCTGTTGAGCATCACTGTCCTGTTTGGATGCTGCCGGTCTTAGTTGCGATGGGGCAAATAAGGATTTGGATATTTTCTGAGGGAGCTGGTGAAAGTCTTGGATAAAACAGAGCGGAAAAGGGGTTAAATGTTAATGACAGTTTTCGTTCAGCATCAGAAATTCAGTTTTTCCAACATTCTTTAATACTTCCTTTACATCTGCGATGTTATGTTTGGTAACACTGAACGGGTGATGAAGTAAGTATGTGTTTTCAGACTACAGATCCATGAAGATGATGCATTCGTTGCGGTAGCTCCTTCTGCACAACAGAGTTCGTCAGATGATGACAGCGTCAAAAAAGAGGTTAATTTCCGAAGTTATAATATTTATCGTGTCAGTTTGCAAAGTAAGTTTGGTAGGTTAACCGGAAATGAGGGTTATCGGTGTTTCACCGTTCTCATTACATGAAACTTATTCGGAATGTTCTCCAGTAGGTAGTGTAGCCGACAAGCAAGCCATTGTCTTGATTTATCTGCATTCGCAGCCCCCCACACGTCTGAGTTAATAGGTCGGCCTGTTCCAGTTTGTTCTTCTAAAATATCTTGTCTACCAATCGATTGTTCGTTTCTTCCACGTATCACCTTGGAACAGGATCATGTCACAGTCGGACTTAATACCGTTTGACCAGTCATGTTTGTTTTTAAGGTTGTTTGTGTGCTGGAGAAGAAGATGAAGGTGCAGGAAGTGCCGAGATTCAGGCCTGCTACATTTCACGCAGTTGATATCAAGCGTAAGCATTTTCTTGTCTCTGAAAATTGTTTTTCTGTTTATTCCTAATGAAATTTTTGGTCTCGCAAGGTGCTAATTGCTTTCTGTTTCTTGTTCGGTAGAATATTCTCCGTGCTTTTTCGATACTTTCTTCGTGCTTTTCCCAAGA